ATTTGAGCCTTTATTATGGGCTTAGCATTAATACTAATTATTTGTGACAAACAAAATCTGATGGTAGGCTTTTAATAAAAAATTTTAAATAATACAATAGTTATTTTATCAAGATAGATAAGATAGAGGGTATGGGTTAGGATGAGCTGTAGTTTTGAAATTTGAGAATACATTTAAAAACATGAGTTAAAGTAATTGTAAACTTTGAGGCAAAAGACTTTTCTTATAGGGGAGTAAACGACATCAAAAAAATGTCTCGAGTTTTATAACATGAAAATCAATACAGAGTTTATTTGCTGGAAATGCAATTGTTGATTTAATTTCCAATCATCAGACTGTTATTTTAATTGCATTTTATTACGGTTTTTCAATCATACGATAAATATATTATGTTATAATTTGATAGATAAATAATTTGCTTAAAAATAAAGACAACAAATAGATGAAATGATTGCATACTTATAATGACTGAATATAAGAAGTGCTGGAATTAGAGTACACATGGATATGACATTTGTCACAATCGAGTATTAGATAAATAATTTGCTTAAAAATAAAGACAACAAATAGATGAAATGATTGCATACTTATAATGACTGAATATAAGAAGTGCTGGAATTAGAGTACACATGGATATGACATTTGTCACAATCGAGTAGCGAATTCTGCCCACATATATCTGGGTATTAAAATCATTATAACAATTAGACTTGTTTTAGTATCGTATAACAAATCATAGTAAATGTGAACAATGATAATAAGGTGGGTGCAATGGTAGACATACATCATCGCGAGCACACATGGAATAATTGCTCCATTCCTTGTCCGATATATTAAACCAATGGCCACTTGATGTGCACTCCTTTGTAGTGTATCCTTAAAAGCCAAACAAATAGTAATAAACGTGTTAAGCATTTAAATTCACCTGCACATAAGCACCTTGTACATAAGCATTGAATATGTACAAGAATATTGTTAGTACAGTAAGAGTAATGAATAATAAAACACTTGAATGCCATAAGGAATTCAATAGAAAGTGACATCAATTCTGTTATAGTATTATCAATAAATACAATGTCAATGAATGACATACCCCTGCAGGGAGGCACGATCTGGTGCCAGTAGATATGTTTGGGACAGGGTTGTTTCATGGTGGTGCCAGGGGGGCCATCATTCGCCCAACACGACCAGCCATCCCAAGTGCGCGGACACATACCCTCCAACCCATTGGATGGCGAGTATTGAAGGGATTCCACACAACAGTGCATCGCATCTGTGGACACAATAAATGTCTTTTTTGAAGACAATTTTCAAGACAATAATTACATTCTCATGTCATTTATACCATACCTGTGCAGCACTGTTGCCATTTAATTATAAGGGTCCGCGAGATAAATGTTTGCGATATAACTGATGTCTCGTTTGACATATAGGACTGATTGGTGACCGGATCTGTGAGCGAACCCAACGGATTGTATCTGATTGTAGGAAATGGTTGTATTAATTCATTGCCTATTGTTATTCAACCAGTGATTCGCAATTAGATGGTTTCCAATGCAGTGATCGTGTT